ACTATGTTGAGTATCTACAACTCGACTTAATATGTACTATATTAGTAATATACTTCAGTTTTTAAAAATCTCTCAAATTATACGTTAATGTTTTTATTTGTTGTAAATTTTATAAAACCCGATATGTATGTTGGAAACAGCAGACAAATCACAAAATAGTCCATAATCATTCAAGATTATTATATCGAGAGAAAGTTCGCTCTAAATTTGACGCTGTAAATTTTTATTAAACTTATCACCTGATGGTATTTCTCGTCCACTATAATACAGTTATTACTCCCGTTTTTTTTTTTTTATCAAATTTCCAATTTTTTAACAGGTAATCCGAAAAAGTTGTTTTTTGTGATTTTCGGTCGTTTTTGGTCATACTTGATAATCTGGATTCATTTCCATCTACCAAATTTCCTTGAAACAAAATTCAAGAAATTAGAATTTTTCCCAAAATTCAGTACAAAATGAGTTTCTTTCGAATTTCGAATTTCTAAAACAGCTTCACGCAATAGCTGTAATAAACTAACTAATCAATCAAATGAATATTCACTTACCCTGTACGAGATATAATTTAATCTATATGTATTTAAGTTGAATTCACTAAGTTCACCAAGTAAAATAAAATAATTATTATAAATATCATGTAGACAGTGTTCCCTTTTTTTGGTTCGATTTCATGTAAATTCACCTTAAATTCTATTTAATAACTATTTTCTAGCCTTCTCCCATCTGATCCTATACGAGACTTTAGTTGTTGACAGTCTTAATACGAGCCCATCTAAAGTTTGGTGTCCTCCCATTGGTTAGATATCCAAATAGTCAACTAAGCGTTAAATGGCGTCACTATCGATACACGTGAGGAATTGAGAAAAATCTTTTTACAATTCCAAACAGCTTGTAATAAATTTGTAATAGATATCCCAATAGTTTAAAGGGATTGTAAAAGTGTTTTCATTATATAGACGTTATTCGCAATTCCACTAAAACTATAAGCGTTTTTATAACGTAAAAATAGCAAGAGGAATCTGGTGATAAAGCATATTTTGGGATAAGTTTAATGAAACCACAGACCTCTGATTGAAAATTTGAATTGTCCCCTATACACATTATAAGTATCAAAGACATAATTTATGTGCACTTATGCGGGAAGCATTTTGCATCATATTCACAATCTAAATAAGGCTTTATTTAAATAACGAGACAAAATAATATTTTGTGTTCATTCTGAATGCATTTATTTTGAAATATTTGACCTAAGAGCAGTACTGTAACCCGTTTTATTTTAAAGTAAATTATAATAAAGATACTAGTTCAATGATATATACATTAATATTTCACTGTTAAAATAGTGCTCAATACATCAATTGTAGAGCGATATAGAAACACCACTGTTAAAATAGTTCTCAATACATCAATTGTAGAGCAATATAGAAACACCACTGTTAAAATAGTTCTCAATACATCAATTGTAGAGTGATATAGAAATACCACTGTTAAAATAGTGCTCAATACATCAATTGTAGAGTGATTTAGAAATACCAATGTTAAAATAGTGCCCAATACATCAATTGTAGAGTGATATAGAAACACCACTGTTAAAATAGTGCTCAATACATCAATTGTAGAGTGATATAGAAATACCACTGTTAAAATAGTGCTCAATACATCAATTGTAGAGTGATTTAGAAATACCAATGTTAAAATAGTACTCAATACATCAATTGTAGAGTGATATAGAAACACCACTGTTAAAATAGTTCTCAATACATCAATTGTAGAGTGATATAGAAATACCACTGTTAAAATAGTGCCCAATACATCAATTGTTTAGTGATATAGAAATACCACTGTTAAAATAGTTCTCAATAATCAATTGTAGAGCGATATAGAAACACCATTGCTAAATTAGTGCTCAATGCATAAATTATAGAGCGATGTAGACATACCACTGTTAAAATAGTACTCAATACATCAATTGTAGAGCAATATAGAAATACCACTGTTAAAATAGTTCTCAATAATCAATTGTAGAGCGATATAGAAACACCATTGCTAAATTAGTGCTCAATGCATAAATTATAGAGCGATGTAGACATACCACTGTTAAAATAGTTCTCAATACATCAATTGTAGAGCAATATAGAAATACACTGTTAAAAAAGAATTATAGAAATAATGAAACAGAGTTACTCAGAGTTTCACACATTGATCTATTTTCCCTACTATATATATAATGCTATACAAAGTAAGTTGGTGTATATTATTATATGATATTAAGATTATATATTACGTGAAAGATTAAAACTCTTCTTTGTAATTCAAGTGCCTATATTTTTGTTATGATTTTATGATATATATCTGTTTTTTTAGATGTTATTTTCATATTCATTCTGTGTAATATTGTCTAATTGTCCAGGTATTAGTCTAAAGTATGCTGTCTCATTGTTTATTAAAATAAAATTCCTTAAAATTTCCTACATTAAAAATGATTTGAAAATTGCATTTAAATTTAATTTCATGAAATGAATTAATGAAATTGCTTTAAAATATCTTCTCAATGATATATGACACTGTTTTATTTGTAAGTGTGTTGTATGAATTGTCATACCCCTACATTTAAAACATATGTTCATGGTTCATTGGTTAAGTGGGACCATAATATAGGCGACAGATAATAGACAACAATTTTAAAAATGCGAATGAAGAAGAGGAACCCCGGAAAGGGGTTTTCCTTGGGGGCAAATGAGACAAAAAGGGGGCTAGGAACAACTTTGGAGGGCGAACGATCTAAAAATAATTCTGTTTAAGTGAATCTTGACTCGAAATACAGGCTTTGAATTTTTCAGACCACCGCATTCAAAACAAACGTGCATGGTTTCCCGGGATTATATAATTATAGGGTAGGGACGACAAAATACGCCGGTTTCAGAGGAAATCGGACCGTTATACCAAGGCAGAATACTTAGCGATCAAGGCTTCTACAGCTGCTCTGTTGCGTGAATCACAAACAAAGCACTGGCAGGAGTTCTGCAACTCATTAAATGAGAAGACCAACCTAAGATCTGTCTAGGGTAAAATAGACTCAATGCTTGGTAAAAAATCTAATTCTTCAATTCCAACTCTTTGTTACAGGGATTCCAAAGAATACAGCAATGAAGGAAAGCCAATTTGTTAGCCAAGTGTTATGCTGACGGCAGTGCTGATACCAACCATACCAAAGAATTTCTAAAGAACAAGAAGACCTTCTACACCAACCACACTCCCATTCATCACTCGCCCTCAGAGGACGAACGGGATCTTAACGCTCCCTTCACCCTCGACGAGCTGAAGAAAGCACTGTACAGTAAGAAAGACAGCGCTACTGGTGAAGATAATATCAAGTACAGCATGTTAAAGGAATTACCAATGGAAGCGTCTTCAGTTCTACTAGAGTTATTCAACAAATCATGGTATAATGGTACAATTCCGGAAAGTTGGAAAACGGCAATGGTCATTCCTCTACCAAAACCGCAGAAAGATAAAAGTCTATGCAGTTCATACAGGCCTATTTCTCTGACCTCGACTCTATGTAAAACATTTGAGACAATGGTCAATAATAGACTTAGATACCACTGTGAACTAAATGGTCTTATCGATCCAACCAAAGCGGCTACAGAGAGAAACGGTCAATAATGGATCAAATCGTTCGACTTCAACACGACATGGCCGCCCAACTAGGAAAGAAGAACTACTTCAGCGCAGTATTCCTGGATCTGTCCAAGGCCTTTGACTTAGTCTGGGTTGATGGTTTGCTTTTTAAACTTAATAAACTTGGCATTCGGGGTCGCGTGTTCAGGTGGATCCAAGACTTCTTAAGGGATCGCCAGATACAAGTGAACGTCGCCAATTCTCTCAGCGAGAAGCACTCGTTGGAGAATGGCACCCGCAAGGCTCTGTTATTAGCCCTACCCTCTTCAGCATTATGATCAATGATCTGGCCCTGGATTATGTAAAGCATATAGAGCTCTCGGTTAGCACGGCTCTATATGCAGATGACAGTTCGATATGGATTGGTCACAATGACCTCAATAAAGTTAAATGGCGTATGCAAACTGCTCTGAACCAAGTTGCTAAATGGGCAAACGACTGGGGCTTCATTATTTCGGAAGCTAAAACCGTCGGTTTGTTCTGCAGCAGAAAGAAAGATCACGATAGTATTGACCTCAGACTGAATGGTGTGAAGATTAAGCATGAGAATTCAGCAAGGTTCCTGGGAGTACACTTTGACAAGTGTCTGACTTGGAGTACGCACATTGACTATATCTGTAACCGGTCTATAAAAATCTTAAATGTTAGGCGTTATGTTTCAGGTACCACATGGCGAGCAAACAGAGAAACTCTGTTATTGATTATGGTTGTATTGCCTATGGTAAAGCAAGTGATACTCAACTGAAGAAACTCGACGTTTTACACATGAAAGCTATACGTATTGCCACCAGGGCAGCCGTAGGTACGAAGAATGAGGCGCTACTTCAGGAGGTTGGAGAGAAACCCCTCTCTCTTCGGAGGGAGGAGCTATCTCTCAAATTCTGGGGGAAACTTCAGTATTTGTCCGAAAACTGTCCAACGTATTCCAGCATCAGAAGATTTACTCGTGTCGGAAATAACCAGAAGAATCGGAGTATTTCTTACGGGCACTGCACAGCAGAACTTCTTGCCACCAGGGACGCGGTAGCATGGCTGTCCGTCAATCACACGGAGCATGCCGCGATTCTATCCGACTCGCTAAGCAGCCTCCAATCTATTTTTCTCACCTCTTCTAATTGCAGGTCAGAAGTTATTTCCGGAATAAGAAGAATGATCCACAACTACCAAACCAACAACGACCAGAAGATTGAATTAGTATGGGTTCTATCGCACGTCTCCAATGACACAGACCGTTGTGCCAAGAAAAGTCTGGAGGATATCGAGCCTGTAGAATGCTCCTATTCGGAGTTCTGCAGTATCGTATCTTCTAGGATCAACCAGAAATGGGCCGACATGTTACGGAACCTCGACACCGCAAGATACCAAACCAAACCAAACCAAACCATCCATCTGTAGCCATCTGCAAAGTGGCAACCAGACTCCGGAACATCAGTTCAACGCCATTAAATGTCGCTGCGGCCAAGTTGCCACAAGGTCGCATGTCCTCATTCAATGCACTGAACTGAAACCCGCTCGTAAGCCACTGCTAGAGTACCTGGAAACCAACGGCATACCACTCACCATACAGAATGTTTTGGCTCCACCCACGGACCACTGGTATACGATAATAGAACTAGTCTTCCATTTTATAACCAAATCTGTCTTGAACAGATAGGCTAAGTTTTTATACTCAAAGCTTCACTTTTTAATTATATCCAATCAATTCAACAAGTTTCATTGCAGAAACATAAGAGAACATCTTCCCCCATTTTTGTTGAAAGATTCCCCACCCCCCCTTTTTCCTCCCTCTTTTCTCACTTTTTTTTCTTTTTTTTTTCAGGTCTTCAAGTTTTACAACAGATAACAGATAATCTAACCAAACCAAACCAAACCAAACCAAACCAACGACTACCATTCGACTACCAATCAACAATAAATACCATGATCAGAACGAGTTTGGAAGAAGGAAGAAGGAAGAAGGAAGGAGACCGAGTAATTCACGCCACACCATCCAGGGCCGAGTTTCACCGCCATGTCATTCGACCCGACCAGATTTAACAAAGAATCAACAACCAAACCAACAACACCGAATCATCCAATTTGATCCAATCAAACTACCAACTACTACGACTACCAACAACTACCTAGTTTGCGATATTAGCATCCGCTGGAAGCGAACGTTAACTTGTCATCTACCTACCTACCTACGACAAAATAAAGCAATATTATTTTGCAACTGGGGAAGGAGAACCCTGGGGAAGGGTCTTCCTTGAGGTAAATGAGAGAGAAAAAGGGGTGAAGAAGTTTTTTGGGGAAACGATTTTAAAAATTTGCTTTTTTTGACAATTTTTTTTCACGAATTTGCCTTTATTTCGTGAATTTTTTCGGACCCCTGCATTTAAAACATACATGCATGGTTTTACAAAATAAACACCATCGATTATTGTTCACATTAAATGTTTATTTAACAAAATCATGTGCTAAGAATAATATTATAAACACTGGTCAATGAACATTTTTACACCAGTCTATCAAAATGTCTAATATATTAAGATCTAGACAAATTTTTGAAACTTGGAAGGAAATAAAAGACATTATCGGTCCAGCAAATATTAAGCACATATCTGGCACATTACACCGTGATCCGTACCGTCTTGAATCAAGTCTAAAATTTTGCTCAGTATACCGTTAAAATAATCCGATCGCATTTAAAAAATACGCGATTGTTTTAGCGGGATATTTCCTAAAATTCTTGCTTGCATTTGTTGTCCTGATAATCGGATGCATATAGAATTAACATAAATGTCACAATAAAAATAATTTTTAAGATAGGTCTACACTAATGACAACCCGAAAACAACTCGAGTGATAAGCGACTGGTGAATCACGTTATTAATAATAAAAGATATGGTCTACTACATAATAATATGTAACTTCTAGAACGTTTTTTAAAAAAAAAAGCAAAATACATTTATATCACATAAGTAATCTAGAAAAATCTATTTAAAATCCTTTCGAGAAACTTAATTGAAAAACGTTGTAAAGGTGTGTGTCTTGACTTAATATATAATGTATTGTCGGTTATGAATTTATTTGTTGGTTGGGTACAGATTGTTCATATGATTGTTTTAGCGGGACATTTCCTAAAATTCTTGCTTGCATTTGTTGTCCTGATAATCGGATGCATATAGAATTAACATAAATGTCACAATAAAAATAATTTTTAAGATAGGCCTACACTAATGACAACCCGAAAACAACCCGAGTGATAAGCGACTGGTGAATCACGTTATTAATAATAAAAGATATGGTCTACTACATAATAATATGTAACTTCTAGAACGTTTTTAAAAAAAAAAGCAAAATACATTTATATCACATAAGTAATCTAGAAAAATCTATTTAAAATCCTTTCGAGAAACTTAATTGAAAAACGTTGTAAAGGTGTGTGTCTTGACTTAATATATAATGTATTGTCGGTTATGAATTTATTTGTTGGTTGGGTACAGATTGTTCATATAATATCGTGTTTCCAATTGTATGTTACTGGTTCCCATGACAAAGATATGTTACACACGAACCCCTTTATAATATAGGTTACATGTTGTTCATAAACATTTTAAGATATAAAACCTGCACTTAAAGGGACGAGCGTGCAAAGTATTTTTTCTTCTTTGGGGTGGGGGGGGGGGGGGGGGGGGGGGATTTCAGTCTTATATGTATATGTACAGATGAGATAAGATTTATTTCATATACACCTATACGTATATCACTCTACAATTGATGTATTGAGTACTATTTTAACAGTTTATTTCTATATCACTCTACAATTGATGTATTGAGCACTATTTTAACAGTGGTATTTGTATATAGTTCTACAATTAATGTATTGAGCACTATTTTAACAGTGATATTTCTATATCACTCTACAATTGATGAATTAAGCACTATTTTAACAGTGTTATTTCTATATAGCTCTACAATTGATGTATTGATCACTATTTTCACAGTGATATTTCTATATCTCTCTACAATTGATGTATTGAACACTATTCTAACAGTAGAATTTTTATATCACTCTACAATTGATGTATTGAGTACTATTTTAACAGTGGTATTTCTATATCACTCTACAATTGATGCATTGAACACTATTTTAAAAGTGATATTTCTATATCACTCTACAATTGATGAATTGAGCACTATTTTAACAGTGGATTTTCTATATAGCTCTACAATTGATGTATTGAGCACTATTTTAACAGTGGTATTTCTGTATCTCTGTACAATTGGTGTATTGAGTACTATTTTAACAGTGGTATTTTTATTTTGCTCTTTGATGTATTGGGCACTATTTTAACAGTAGTATTTCTATTTCTCTCTACAATTTATGTATTGAGTACTATTGTAACAGTGGAATTTCTATATCGCTCTACAATTGATGTATTGAGCACTATTTTAACAGTGGTATTTCTATATCGCTCTACAATTGATGTATTGAGTACTATTTTAACAGAGGTATTTCTATATTACTCTACAATTGATGTATTGAGCACTATTTTAACAGTGGTATTTCTATATCGCTCTACAATTGATATATTGAGCACTATTTTAACAGTGGTGTTTCTATATCACTCTACAATTGATGTATTGAGAACTATTTTAACATTGGTATTTCTATATCACCCTACAATTGATGTATTGAGCACTATTTTAACAGTGGTATTTCTATATCATTCTACAATTGATGTATTGAGAACTATTTTAACAGTGTTGTTTCTACATCACTCTACAATTGATGTATTGAGCACTATTTCAACAGTAGTATTTCCATAGCACTCTACAATTGATGTATTCAGCGCTATTTCAACAGTGGTATTTCTATATTGCTCTACAATTGATGTATTGAGCACTATTTTAACAGTGGTATTTCTATATCGCTCTACAATTGATGTATTGAGCACTATTTTAACAGTAGTATTTCTATATCACTCTACAATTGATGTATTGGGCGCTATTTCAACAGTGGTATTTCTATATTGCTCTACAATTGATGTATTGAGCACTATTTTAACAAAACAAAATCGGTTGACATTACAACTGATAGTAATGATAGATTTTGAGAGTAACAATAATTTGAGCGATTGTTAAAGGTCGACCGACTGAATCTGCCCGATTGGCATGAGCGCACAGCTACAAAATTGCAGTTGTCGCGTGTTGCTGTAGCGCACGAACTAATACAAAATCGCAGTTGTCGCGTGTTGCCGTAGCGCACCAACAAATAAAAACGCAGTTTTTCGCGTGTTGCCGTAGCGCACCAACTAATACAAAATCGCAGTTGTCGCTCGTTGAGAGAATGATTGAAACAATATGTATTCACAATGATTTACAATATATATTTACATTCATATAGACAGAGTTATGGTTTAATGGTTCGAGGCTTATATAAATCCCTTACCATCGATTGAATCTAATTGTGCTCATACAAGTAATAAGTAAGAGATTAATTGCATTTCTGATATTATGGTGTGTGTTAATATAGGGAGGAAAAGAAAGGTGATTTTGGCCTTGGTTTGAGGGAAAAGGACAGTCATATATTTCTAGACATAACTTGCTGCGGTATCATCAAAGTTTTTTTGAAAAATTAGATAGTAGTGCTAGTTAAATAAAACATGACCCAATTTGAAGGCATACTTGGTCTATAGGAATACTACGGCTTAGTATAAACATAAAATTTAAAAATTTTAACTTGACTTTTAAGTATATATATTCATCAGTATATATACCTGATGTCATAAATAACATAACAGGATCCTTATATAATCTGATAAATCTAAAAAACTTAGTAAATCCATAAATATGCAATAAATTATTGAAAAACGTTCAATATCAAGAATAAGCGTTTTTCAATAATTACTTAATTTTATGAATTTTCCAATTTTCCAGATTTTACAGGGATTCTGTTGTAACTTTATGACACCAGGTAAGTTCACTGATGAATATATACTCATATTGACCATTCTTGAGAACTTAAATTTTCTGTTCATTCTAAGACGTAGTATCACTTTAAAAGATCAGTGTATCACATTATTAGATTAGATTGGATGAAATCAGAGCAATTATTGTAACACTGAATCGCTTTGTTAGTGTTATAAATGACTGGACCACTAAAAAAATATGACTGTTGATTCCATTGTCAGCAGTATTTGAACCATTCGAGAGAATATGCGTCTGAGACCAGGAAGGAGGGTGAATGAGGTTTGTCTGGTTTCGCTGAAAAGTGTAGTTTCTATATATCAAGAGATAATGAGAGGAGATGACTGCATGAACAGGAAGGATCTTCTCCAATGTGGTTAAATAGAGAATCACAACAAAACCGATTTCTAATCGAAATCATAAACAAATGGGTTATAACTAAATACTAGCTTTATGACTGATATAAATACACGTCTAATCAGGAAAGCATGTTAGCGAGACACCTGTAGTATCGTATTAAAGATGGGTTTCCTTATTTTTGCGTCAAATTAAGCAAATTTTTTCTATTGAATTATCATGTATTATTAATCATATCATTTTGTTCTTATTGCATATAATTAAGAGTTTTAACCAATCATAAATGTCAATGTATGTAGTCTGGATAAACAAAAAGACTTTTTGACCTTTCTTTATCGGTCACTCATTGGAATTGTGCTGGTTATTCTGTTCTAATTTCGCTACTTATGAAATAATTATCGACATGCGAGACAAACTGGTATTTTTCCAAGTCATTAGAACACCTCTACTTTCTTTTCATATAAGTATTAGCTTTTTCATTTTTATAAATTAAAAAATAGGGAAACCCATCCTTAATTCTGATTCTACCTGACTAACTTTTAATAAAATAAAAAGTTTTTTTAATTTTGTATTTATTTCCTTCAAACACCAAACAAAATTTGAAATTATCTTTAAAGAAACAGTATGAAAAATTTCCATTGTTAAAAACTTGTGAATCATACATAAAGTTTCCTATAATATAAGTATTTTTACTTGTATGTTACTACTCTCATTTTCATAATGAT